ATTACAGCTGCTGGAACATTTTGTTTCTAGAGGTGGAGTGAATTTGAGATCATGAGAACCGAGAACTCATTACATAAGAGCTATTCTGAAATGTTTTCTGGCTTTGAGGGTATCGTAACAACAGTAAAAAAAAAAAAAAAGGTAACTTTCACAGAGATGACAAAACTGTGTGCTATGCTAATCAATGCATTTCAGTTAATGTTTCACCTGAAGAAATAATGTTGGAGTAGAAATAACAAAGTATGTGCTTTTTTCAAACCCGTTTCCCTTTTCTTTTTGTGCGTCAACCCTATATACGTCTACTCCGAAATTTTATTAAAGTAAAGCTACTCCTAAAGCTATTGGATGTCGAATTGCCCTTAGCCAATTTATCTGAGACTCCCTAGATAAGGGATGTCAAACTGCCGGCCTGCAGGCAGGTTGCATCCTGCAAAGGCTGCACTCATCCCATCTCCAGCCATGCAAAAAAGTCACGATACGTTGCAACACGTCACGTGACCTGGCAAGTTTGACAGCTGTGCCCTAGATCATTAAGAATCTGAGAAGTAAAGGTTTGGAGAGATCTGTGGTCTTTCATGTAAAAGAAAGGCTTTTCCTACACGTGACCTCTTCTATAAGGCAATGGTGACAAATTGAAATCCAAGAAACAAATTGGTTTCCAAACTGTGGTTTTTGTTTTTTTTTTTGGCAATCCATTGTGCCCCACAAAATGAACTAGAAAAATTCAGTTGCAGAACACCATGTATCAGCAGTATTTTTTATAGCTATTTTATTGGTTACCTTAATGTTTCAACTCCTAGAATGGGCTTAATGTGACACAATAATAGCCACTGCCACCTAAAGTTGGAAAAAATAAGAATACAGTAATCTAGAAAATGCAATCCTCTAGAACTTTCAGTTGAAAAAGCCACAAGAGTCTTGTCTCAGAAATCAAATGTACTTAACATCTACATAATGCCATCCTATTTACATTCACTGTAAAAAAAAAAAAAGGCTTGTTGAATCTAACCATTTAGCAAGCATATGCAGTATTAGTTTCAGTCTGGGGTCTTCAAACTTGGCTCTTTTATGACTTGTGGACTTCAACTCCCAGAATTCCTCAGCCAGCATGCCTGGCTGAGGAATTCTGGGAGTGGAAGTCCACAAGACATAAAAAGGCCAAGTTTGAAGACCCCTGGTTTCAGTCATTGGTATTATACCATGAAGCATTGGCTCACTTGACGTAAAACAAGTGTACTTCTGACAATGTTGGAGTGTACCGTCTTAAAAAACATCAAGGGTTCAGCTTACATAACTCAGCAAACGGTCACAGTAATCATTAACTTTGCTCTCTTCCAGTTCACTTTGTTCTCAAGTCACCTGTTTGCTTGGATTAAACATATAGCAGGATGTTAGAGAAGGAAAAACATTTCACAGCTGTAGCATTCTTTGATAGTGCATGGAATTCAAGAGAGAAGGAAACCAAGAAGACAGACATCTAAAAGTGGTACAGCTTAATGAACTAAAAACATAACAGGAAAATTTATCCAAAAAGGAAATGTTCTCAGTATCTCATTGACACTTATTTACTAAGGTATTTCAAGGCAAGCCATGGATCTTAATTTCCAATGAAAGTTCCTGTCACTTATGGCCAAGTTGTATCATCAACTACGATGAAAGGTATCTTTGTTGAATCCCCTTTCAAGAGAAAGGAGGTGGCACACAACATGTGCAAAATTATACAATGGCAGATACCGTACTAATGGGATATTCTTGGTTTTTTTCCCTATGATTTCAGCATTTTTTTTTATAAAGGAATAATTAAAATGTGTGAGTCCTCTCTCTTTGCTTATCAGCCACACATAATACAGGCCAGGAATAGATACAGAATTTGGTTCTCCTGATTATTTCAAACAGCCCCTAGTCATACCAAGTTGCATCTTTTTTGTTAAGTTACAATGTTTATTAATACATTAAAAGTACTAGGGAGTGATTTCATGGCTTTCACAATAAAATCAATGAAACTCCAAATGACTTCAAGTGTTCATTCATATTATCAGATTTCTCCCCAATAGTTCAGGCTAGATTGAAATCAATTAATCAAAAACATAAGAATCCAGGAACTTCTGATAAGTACTTTACTGCAGAAAATAACTAAGAAACCATTCTGAAAGAATTCCAATGACTGCTGTGAACGTAAAGAGAATCGAGGCTAATTTTTGTCCCTTCCTCCTGTTCAAGCTACACAATAGGCTGCACAGATCTTTGTTTTTGGCAGAAAGACTGATTTCCATTTGTCCCTCATTTTGTTAACTGGCAAATCTGGTATCAGTTTTTCTTCTGATCGTGTGAAAACACACCAGTATGACAACAAATTATATCAAAGGATCTACTTTAATCAGTCAAAATCCCACATGTGAATGGCACTATTGGGGAAGGTTTTTATAGATAGAAATTTCACAAGTTGGTGAGCATGATTTCGGTTTAATTTCTTGCAAAGACAGAAGTTCTTAACTGACTCCAGTTATAAGAAGGTTTCCTTTAGCATATTTTTAAATACATGCAGATAAATGGTCTCCTCATAAATCCAGTTATTGTTGTTCTGCTGTTTCTCCCATAAACATGTTCTTGGTTCTGCAATTCTCAAACAGTCTCAAACAATTCTCCCTACATTTTATAGGGAGAAGATATTTATGTGTTCCAATTATGTGGCTCTGGGCATCTCACTTGCTTAAAGTAACAATAAACAAAATTCATATAAAACAACAAAAACACATTAGCATAGTCATTGGCTGCTACTATTGTTTCTATCCAATTGTTTTTACCCATCTTAACTGATCTGGCAGGAAGCACATGGTCCAGGTATCGTCAGCCAGTGTGGGACTGGAAAAGGTCCAAAGGGAGAGATTTTTCTGCCACAGCCCCCACCTTTGGTGCATCATTCCCATTGAAATTACACAGATAAAATAGGTGAAGTGATATCTCTGGCACCGAGAGCTTTATCTCTTCCGTTCTTTTTTCACTTAGTCCAGGGGTCTTCAAACTTGGCCCTTTTATGACTTGTGGACTTCAACTCACAGAATTCTGCTGGCTGAGGAATTCTGGGAGTTGAAGTCCACAAGTCAAAAAAGGGCCAAGTTTGAAGACCCCTGACTTAGTCCAATGTGCTTACAATGAAGTGAAAATTAAAATGGTGATAGAGAAAGAGTCCTAGAGAAGCTTCTTTTTCACATGGCTGCTTTAGGAGTACCACAGATGGGGAAAAAATGTATTATGTTGCTGGTAACCCATTCAGAATTCAGGACTGCAGGGGGAAAAGTAACTCACTTAAGAGGAGTTGTCTGAGTTACTTCTCTGGGCTAAGGGGTTTGTTTACCTAACACGCTACTCTCCATGACCCAATTAAGCAGGTCATGTAAACAAGACCAATGAATAATGGGAGTGATTCTCAGGCTTCCATGTGATTCAGCAATTTTAAAAAAATTTCTTTTAGAACCAATACTGATTTACAAGCATGCTCCAGCCCAAGCCTTTATTAAGGCTTTTGCAGTCTGATATGGGATTAAAATCAACTTGGCTTTTTTCATAAGAACACCTTAACATTAGCTATCAACATTAGAAATGAATTTCATTAACCAGTTATTAGTATTAATAATGGTTCTAGTAGTAATAATGTTGCTTTTAATCTACCAACAATTGGCATTCTCTGGAGAGATTATAAAATCACCAAATCAGAAAAATAATCAAACATACATGTAGGAAGTATGCATCATATATTCACAGGAAATACTGCTGGAAAAATATTAATGAATTAATGCACCAAAAGGCCATCTGTGTGGGTTCCAGGGATGTATTCCCTTTTCTATGTGTGAAATCACAATTAAGAAGACCTTTTCCTTTGTAGGCACCTGACACATCTCATTAGCTGAAGCAACCAGATAAGGTCTCCATATCAAAGATCCAGGCAGATAGTTTTGAAAGATGATGTTCCTTAAAATATTCTGAGACAAAGCTACGTACAGTTTTAAAAATCAAAATTAACACCTTAATTTTGTTTATTTATATTCCACCTTTATAATGCTCTTTCAGTGCTCCTTTAGGCTCAGAAACTAGCTAACAAATTGACCAAATTGGCATGTGATCAACTTTAAGCAAACTTTATAGCTTTATTTATTTTATTTTATTCAATTTCTATGGCCACCCATCTCAAACAAATGACCAAATGCAACCCACAGAGCAGCGATGTTATATGTGTCAAAGATTTACTACTCACACACTTGCATTCTACATCAGATGAAGCTTCCAAATGCTCTTCATGGGCAGCCCCATAGAAAGCACATTGTAGTAATCCAGATGAGAGGGCATGAATGCATAAGTGGCTATGGAGATGGTCATGGAGGTTCCCCAAATTGTGCACTGGATCTATTTGGGGTAGTGCCACTCCATCCAGGACTACAGGGGGGAAACCATGCCACTTGAAAGTCCAAATGCCCAAAGCTATTCAGTCTTGCTAAGGTTGAGACGAAGCCCATTGCATCCCATCCAGGCTGCTATAGCCCCCAGGCATCACTCCCCACCCCCACCCCAAAAAATGGACAAATGGAACTTTCCAATCTTCAAAGTTTCCTGGACTCTTGAAAGATTATTGCTTATTATAAGGCTTTTAGAAAGCTTTAATATGCAAAAAGGTAAGAACATTTGGTATTGAGCAGAACATATTTTGTGGGAAAAAAGAACTTGAATCTCAGTAAGGATTAAGTAATCAATATGATCATGGAAATAACATTTAGGGATAGTTTCTCATTAAAGTCTCAAGCAAGCATAAATGAAATTAGAAAGGGAAAGAAAAACTCATTATATTAAAGTCATTTATATTATAAGTTCAGTTTAGTCTTGGATGTGCCAACCATAGTACACAAGTGTTGCCAATTACTTAAATTATTACCCCTCTTAGCAACTGCTGATGGCTTAAGATTTTCCAATTTATGAGTGGAAAACAAAAATTAATGTAACATTATTTGTAAAATTTCAAATTTCTTTTTATTGTCAAAGTAAATATATTTTATGAAGAACAAAGAAAAATATACATAATTGTAACTTATGTACACTGGCTTTAAAGATATTATTTTGACTCTAATTTACATCATCTTTGTGTTTTTAAAAGATATTTTATATAGATATGCAATATGTACAATTTATTTACATACATTCATAGGATGTGAAATAAAAACCAGTCAATAGGAGAGATTCACCTACAGTATACAAATTTCCAGAGGACAAAAGGAATGCATTCCTAGCATAAAGAACTGGAACTATTGCTCTTAAATGACAACGTGGTCTCTGTTTTGACCTACTCCATCCAGAAGTGCAGTGTTTTAATTCCCATTTGGTTAACAAAGAAAATAGGGACAATACTAAAATTCATTGCTACTGAGGCCCTCTGAAAGCAGCAGAACTGAACTGCTCACAGCTAATTTTGTCCCATTGCCTTCAGTGAGATTCAACCATGGCTAAGGTTGCTCAGATTTGCTATCAACATGACAGCTATGACTGTACTACACATTTAGTTTTGTGATTGAATTGACCCATTGGGGGCTTTGAATTTTCATCTAAGCTAAAATAGAACAAAAAGCTGCATTAAAAATAATCCAAATTAAAATGTTGCACAAATACCACCACAAGGTTCTTAACTGATTTGTTATGCATGTTGTATGATCATAGCCTGTTCTTTAAAAATATCCAACAACCCTATTTACTACATTCTTGTTCTCTAGAAACATCCTAAAATCAGTAGAGTACAAAAAGAAAAAAAAATGGTGGAAGGAAATGTTGCCTAATACGATATTTTTTTCTGCTTCATCAGATTATCTATCTGCGGTGCATATTCCCTTTAAAAAAAATAAAGGCCCTTAAGACAGCTACCATGCTAGTTGGCTGGAACATCCAATGCTCCAGTTGCATTGCTCTCTGAGTAGTGGCCCATATGGGCACCCAGCATTTTAGTACCACTTACTGCTGAAATCTCTCAAAGTGCTTTCATAAAACATTCACTAAGTCTGAAGTCCTTCCTCCTCAGCCACTAGGAATATGGATTGTGTTCAGTACTGTAAACAAGGGCAAATTGGCTCAGCAGGTTTTTCACTCTTAGTCTGGGACGATGCTATAAGGTAAGGCAAAAGGATTGGCACAGTTAGAAACTAAGGGTAACATTCCAGAAGAAGTCACATAGTTTTGCAGGAATGGTACTTAAGGCTGCCCACATACTGAAAGTCAATGGCACAGCAAGAAATTGGCACAGGATTTCATCCAGCTATCACATTTGCCCAGAGCAAGGGGGAGGGGGAGGGGGAGGAAGGGGGGAGGGGCTGGACACTATCCTGCTGAAGGATCTATTGAAGACTAATGACAAGCATCATTCCTGGAAAAGAGAGGCATGACTCCTTTCTGCTATTCAATAAAGCAGCAGCACCCTTCCAGGACCAGGAGCACCTTTGTAATTTTGAACCATATCATAGTTAGAAAACTGTCATTGTGAGGAAGGTTTGCCTGTTCATACAGTGGCTGTCAAAAGAGGAGATGGCCAATCATCAAACACCTATTTAACAATACTCAAACTGGGGAAATAGCTTTCCACTACCACTATCTCAAGCCTCCTGAATATTCTCCCTCTCCTCAGCTTATCCAAAAGATAACCTTTTGTTTTTTCAGATTATGAGGCATTCTTGCATATGGCTTCCCATAATGAGGGTTGTATATTTAAAAAAAAAAAACAATTATCAAGTTGAGTAGAGAGTCTGGAGCAACGGCCATCACATTCCCTATGTCTGTAGTAGCACCTTAACTGTGTTATAGCTTGAACTCCATAGAAAAACTTCATTCATTTCCTCCACAGTACTAGTCAGCCAAATACACATGCACACATGCAAACACACATCTATCAAATCATTGGCCTACCTTGGTTTCTATAGGAACAGATTGTCCATGGTTGGATTTTGGCACTATGACATACAGTGCAGGATTGATGTGCTCCATTAGTAAAGAACCAAAAGAAAATTCCTAGATAAATGATTTAATACATTGAATAGATAAATATTTGGCCTTCTTAACTCCTGTGGTTGACAATTCTATTTATCTTTGGTATAAATCTTTAATAATACAAGCTTAACTGTTTAAGACTTTGGAAAAAATATTATCAGATTCTAGTTACTAAATATGACATAATTGCTTGGTCTTCCCCAATTTGACTGTGATGTTTGGGGAATTCTGCAAGACAAATCCACTTATCCACGTGTCCAAGTATCCCCTTTCATGTATCCAGTCCAGAGATTAGAATCTGAATGGTGCAAAAAAGGAGAACTGGGCAACAGGATACTTCTCTGACATTTACCATAGTTTTAATATTACCTAAAGAAGGTCTGTGCCTAAACTGTGGGGCAACCCATGCAAAACTATTATCTCTGGACTGAATGACGAAAGGTTGTATTTTGGAAATAGAGGTGATTGGGTGAAAGGGCACCGTTGCCTTATCCTAATTTATTTATCTCCTCCAGCCATGTGAGATGTAACAGGCATTTTCAAACATACTAATCTTTACATGGAACTAAGGACAAGGGAGAGTGAAGTCTGCCAGTTCCAGTGAAGCATCTTCTCAAAAGGGAGAGCTGATAAATCTGCAGATGGCAGCAACTGATAGATTCAGATATGGTGTGCATACATTCTGGAAAAATCTAGGGTTTATTCAGACTAGAACGATCATTCCATACACAGGTTTATTGCTTAGTCTAATCAAAGACCTGCCTATTGGTAATCTCTTCTTTCTATACGCACACATATTCAGTCACACATGTACACATATTGCTGACGTGTTTCTTCCGTTCAGTGTCTTTTGAGAGCACCCATGAAGATCTAGCTAGTGAATCCAACACCAAATCATTGTATCAACAAAAATGAACTCATGGAAATGAAGTGGATTTCTTTTCCATTTCAAAAGGAAATTGCTCTTTCCAAACTGGACAAATAGACCAGCTTAATAATATTAATAATGTATTTTTTTTTAAAAAAAAATACCTCATGATGAATAGCCCTGTACATGAGCAAAAGCGCTCAGGAATGCCAGAACTGTAATTAACTAGCAGCAAGTTGCCCATATATTATCATGATGTTGGAGCTCAACTGACTAAAAATGAAACACTGTAAAGAAGCTGCAGCGGCAGCAACAAAAAGAATTAGGGGGGGGGGAAGCAAAGTTGGTGAATGATGGGAAAGAAGAGGCACATGTGATGTCCTAATGATAGCGGTTATATGTAGACAAATAAATTATCACAAGAAAGGAACAAATGCTGCTCGTGGCAGGTCTTAGAGGCGTGGTGGGACGGACTGAGCCAGATACATCAATTGACTGAGCGCACTGAGCGGCTGCTTCGTGGAAATCGATGGACTTTGACATGCTTGGACAGGTGGTCACTTCGTGCAAACTTCTTCTCACACACAGGGCACTGATAGGGCTTCACTCCAGAGTGGGAACGTCGATGTCGAGAAAGTTCATCTGATCGTGAGAACCTGGAAGCAAATAAGAAAAGATGATCGGTATAATGCTTTCACCTTTAGGTGGTCATCAATGTACAGTATATAAAAACAGAACCAAGAATATTTAACATTAAGATCAATCTTTCAAAGAAAATATTCCTGAAAATACTTTTTCTTTTTATGGCCCTGTAATCCCTTGTATCGGGATGGAGTCAGGGTAACTAAATGGAGCTGAATAATTTACTGGCTGGATGCCCTTCCTGACCCCTATGTGGAGTTTGCAGCAGATATTTACTCTTCGCAGTCTAATAGAGAAACATCTGTTGCTGTCTAGGATTGAACTCTCAGCCTCCTGAGTGTGAGGTGAGCCTCTTCACCTCTAGACCATCACCCCACTCTGCTGAAGAAAACTTCAATAGTCCTGCCAAATAGATTAGTATTTTTATCCATCAGGACATTTTTGGAAAATACTCAGGGAGACAATTGCCCCAAGATACATATATGGAAAGAAAGTCATCCAAACAATGGTTCAATATCTGAAACACTTTCATTTCAAAGTGAGTTATTTCAGAATCTTGGATAATCTCCACCCTCCTATTTACTGGCCATGGCTTTCAATATACATACATATACTATGTATATACACATACAAACACACAAACACCAAAACAAAAAGACAGAATGACAATGATACTATGAAAAATAATTGGGCAGAGACAAGTCTCAAATGGATATTATGCAACTCACATCATAATAAACCCCTTGTCAAGCCCTCCTGGGCTTGACATACAGGAGGGGGGAAGGTGAAAGACAGCACGTTGGGGGAGAGGATGGCCAGCACTGGTCCCCAGGCAGCTCATCGTCTCGGCGAAGCAGCTCGAACGGCGATGTGCTAGTGGGGGCGTTAGAACTGCCGGACAGCTGACGGTTGCCGTGCAGTGGACACCGAGCGGAACGCCGGATATGGGGAGCCGCGCCCAGGCGGAGACGCCTGCATGAGTTAACGAGCAGCCGCCGGACAGATGACAAGCAGGAGAGCCGCGTTGTCAGGGCGGGGCTTCCCAGAAGGCCGACGATCACGCAGACGAACAGGAGGGAGGGGGTTAAGCTGGAACAGCTGCTGCGCTTTGGACTAACTACAGCCGGATGCTGGTTGGGTGATTGGAGGGTGGGGTTGCTGGATGATTGGAGGGTGGGATTGCTGGATGATTGGAGGGTGGAGTTGTTAGCTAATTGGGCGGAGGGTGGGGTAGCACTGAAGCAAGTGCATTTAACCTGCGCTGGGAGGCAGTTGCTGCCAGTGCGAACTTTGTTCAGCAAGGATCTGTTATGCTGTATTTCTGTGCTGATGCCAACGATGCCTTAAAGTAAACCGCTGCTTCCTGAGTCTGGTTGCTTTCGCATCCTTCTTTACCCAGGGGTCTGGTAGTGTCGTTGACACCCGTTATTCATACACTGTAGACTATAAAGCAGTCATTGCTTTATAGTCTACAGAGCCGAGGTGGCGCAGCAGTTAGAGTGCAGTACTGCAGACCACTTTAGCTGACTGTGTTCAGCAGGTCAGCAGTTCAAATCTCACCGGCTCAAGGTTGACTCAGCCTTCCATCCTTCCGGGGTAGGTAAAATGAGGACCCAGATTGTTGGGGGCAATGTAAATATATATATACATTGCTTACTGGTGTACACCGCTTAGAGAGTGCTTGCACTTAAAGCGGTATATAAGTCTCATAAATAAAATAAAATAAATAAATTGTCCACAAGCTTTTTAGTATCCATTTGCTCCCACCTCCCCAAACATTAGCAGACCAATCTATTTTATGGCAATATGGTTAAGGTTTCCCTGTCAGTTATATCTGACTCTAGGCAGGATGATCATTTCCGTTTATTGGCCAAGGGAGCCAGCGTTGTCTGAAGACATTTTGCATGATCATGTGATTAGCACGTCTATATGCCAAAGGCACATGCAACGCTGTTACCTTCCCACCAAAGTGGTAGCTATTAATCTACTCACATTTACATACTTTCAAACTGCTACCGGTAGATAGGCAGGAGCTGGGACAAGTAACGGGAGCTCACCTCATGAGGTGGTGCTTGGGTCTCAAATTCAGGCTGTCAACTTTCAAGCTGAAGAGAAATTCTTTTGAAATCCACTTTTTTTTGCTAAGAAAAATGCTAAGGACTTTTTTTTTCTTCCATCCCCTCCAAAAAGATGGTTTGAATTTTCCATTTCCTATCCCAAAGGTGCTTTTTCACGAGGCAACTGGACTTTCTTTTATCTCTTTGAAGACGTTTCGCTTCTCATCCAAGAAGCGAAATGTCTTCAAAGAGAAACAAGAAAATCCAGTTGCCTCTTGAAAAAGCACCTTTGGGACAATCATGACCTAGATGACTAAGAATCTCCATAGACATTTTCAATTTCCTAGGATAAAATAATTGCTGCTGTCACCTGCAACAAATCTGAGGTAAAGAAGGGAAATTTCCCCTGCTCCAAGAATGGGTTTTCCCCCACAGAAATTGAATAAATGTTTACAAAGTATCATTTGCATACAGAGTTAAAATGAAAACTCATTTGGAAAATCTAAGAACTCATGAAACACATTTGGATTTAGACACCCTTTGAATAGTAGAATCTCCTAGTTGGTGTCAGCCAGAACAGCGATGAACACTGGCACAGATAAGAATCTTTAAGATTAAGATTCTTCTGTCAGCTGTTCCTATAGGAAATAAATGAAATTAGAGGTATTTCTGAGCCAAAAATTTTATTGATCCCAATAATTTTCCCCTTCTGTCACGTTAAAAGTGGGAAATTTTGGAAGAGTTTGGGGAACCATGTCCAAAGTACTGAGAGGCCACATGCAAGAACCCTGAGGTCTCAAGTGGTGTGACTTTGTTTTAAGAGGATAAAGTTAGTTTTTCTTCAAGAAAAAGATTGAACCTCCCTTTGCAATCTAGAAGAGAATTTGACTTTCCAAACTGAAACACTACCAATAATTATGTGACATTTTTGTTTATTTCTTTTTGTATTTTATCTCTATTCTTTAGGGAATTAAAAAATTACTCCAGCTAAACAGAGTTCTTGTCTATAATTTCTCTGATATTTATTAAGCATGTTTGAACAAAATATTTCTTAATGCTTATAGTTTGAGTTTAGGAGCAAAAGCTCTTGGAGGAGGGAGGGAAAACTTTCAGGGTATGTGCTACCTGGCCCATGGAAAGAAACATGAGTTAATATGATAAAAATATATTTTGTATCATAGCTAAGCCTTCAGTTGATCAGGTAACAACATTGCTATGCTGGCATTCAGTTTGCTTGAAAAGATCAGTTTACTATAACTACAGAAATAAATTTGCAGCTCCTTATGTACTTGCAATGCATACCTATCCAAACATTAAATATAAGATAAAGGTAAAAGCCTTCAGATTATTATTTAATGCTCTCTGAAGATGGAAATGGACAATATGTTTTATAAACTGATTTCTTCCCATTTTGGTTTGATTGGGAATTAATATGCAATCGTTATATTTCATTTATGGAATTTATAGGGACTCCAAATATTATCATTTTCCATTTTTAACCCTCTCAGTTTTCCTGGATCCTTCTTTTGTCCTTTTCTTTGTAGGAAATGTGTAAGTTGAGGATAAAAAAGCAGCTTTGTTGCACAAGATTTGAACAGTAGGAGCAGGAACATCTCAAGCAAAGGATTTTAGCGCTATTAAATATGCTAATTAAGATTATTTTGAAAGTTGCCTTGATTCTCTTCTCAGAAGATGCTGGAATCATTTTTCTAGAAATAGGGAAGCAATAAGTAATCAATTTCATATCTGTGAATCAATCTAAATAGGGTTTTGTACATCTCTTGGGTCAATTTAATGACGAGAAGGACGAGGGGGGACATGATAGCAGTGTTCCAATATCTAAGGGGCTGCCACAAAGAAGAGGGGGTCAATCTATTCTCCAAAGCGCCTGAAGTCAGGACAAGAAGCAACGGGTGGAAACTAACCAAAGAGAGAATCAACCTAGAACTAAGGATAAATTTCCTGACAGTTAGAACAATTGATCAGTGAAACAACCTGCCTCCAGAAATTGTGAATACTCCAACACTAGAAGTTTTTAATAAGAGACTAGACAACTATTTGTCTGAAATGGTACAGGTGTCCTGTCTGAGCAGGGGGATGGACTAGAAAGGTCCCTTCTAACTCTGTTATTCTGTTAATTCCAAGGCATTTGACTGATCTGGAGATTCAATTATTTCTTCTAATGATATTCAGTTAGCAGAGCTGCATTAGAGAAAAGAATCTGAAGTCTAAACTAGATATAAACACTATTACTCCAGAAAGAGTCTTTAGCACAAGGGTCTTCAAACTTGGCCCTTTTATGACTTGTGGACTTCAACTCCCAGAATTCCTCAGCCAAGTATGCTGGCTGAGGAATTCTGGAAGTTGAAGTCCACAAGTCATAAAAGGGTCAGGTTTGAAGACCCCTGGTCTTTAGAATTAATCATTATTTTAGTTGCTACTGGCAAATTTAACTACCAGAAAGTCCACTGAAGTCACCAGTTCTCCAAGAAACACAACTTAAGAATAACTGAAGGAGCACAATGATTAACATTCCTTACAGATATTTTCATGGGGCAGTAGTAACAAATAATTGAAGAACGAGATTCCATGCTGAATCTGTGCAAAAACATCTCTCCCAGAATAATTTTTGAAGGAGTTCTAAATTTTTAGGATTTTTAATTCAACTTTCCTATAAAATTGAACAGGAATCTCATAGACATATCTAATCTTTTGAAGGAATCACTGATAAGTTTGAAGGACTGTTGCATCTATAAATTTGCAAGCATTGACTCCTCAAATATCAAGCAAGTGAAATTAGTGAAGATTAATTTCATAGGAGAAATATGATCCATGGAACTGAGTTTAGGTATGTGAATGCAACAGATTCTAAGCAGAATTTTTGAAAACAGAATTAATATATTGTTAATTCTATCACTTTCAGTACTTCTACCAATCTTCTACCTATTTACTTATCT